GCCCGGCCGGGGGTTTCTTTCAAATGGCTCCAGCAGTCTCCTCTCCGGCTCGCTATCTAAACGATAAATATTAATGTCTTCATTGACAATCTTCAGCCGAAGAAGCTTTGATTTCTTCGAGAATGATTAGCAAAGTGGCGATCCTCGTTTAATCTAGAGAATGAGTCAGCTCCTGCTCCAGCAGAGGGCTTCCCCCACCTCCCAGGCAGCCTGATGTTCCGGCTCAATCATGACAAACTCCAGCCTGCTGCAATGCTATTCCTGGCGCTCCTCGGGGAGGAGGGATAGACGGAGAGGTCGTTAGCATCCCATCAACGCGGCGGCCTCCGTGCCAGCCGCCTGCTTGGCCCAAGGCCCCTCGGAACACAGATGTGTCCACACCGCGTAAGAAGGGAGGCGGCAGGGCTGGGAAGGGGATCCCACCTCAGCTGAGCCAAACGTGCCCTCCTTCCTCCTGCCCTCTGCCCGCGTGGCCATGGCGAGCTGGGGACCATCAGCCCAGACAGCAGTGGACGGTCCCTGAGGCAGGAACGTGGGCAGCAGGTGCTGGGGGGCAGCAGCCACATGCCAGACAGTGCTCAGCCTCCCTCGAGAAAGGGTGGACGCCAGGCTGCAGAACTCCCAGATGCTACACCGCTGCCGGTGCACAGAGACCACGTCCTCAGGGCCAGCGTGCACGCCCGTCTTCCGTGGTCTGCCCGGATGCATCTGGGAACTCTGGGGAGTGTACGGTGCATCCCGTAGTTCAAGCTTCCAAACCCTAGGTCTGTCTTCCACCAAAGATCCAGGGATGTCTTAAAATAAGTGATGGAGGAGATAGTTATCTTGGAAAATTCTGTCCTTGAGAGAAGGACACCCCCAAGCTGAAAAGGGGGGTTCTCCAACCGTTTTTAGAGAGTGGTTCTGTTGCCCATGTGCACGGCTCTGGGCTCTGTGTGAGGCACTTTCGTGTACGTGCTCGTATGGGTCAGCTTTTGCTGCGTAACAAATGACCCCAGAACTGGGCGGCTTTGATGCAACACGACAGCCGTTTATTGAGCTCACAACACTCCCTGGGCAGCTCTTCTGCTGGTCTCTGCTGGGCTCCTTCATGCGTCTGTTGTCAGCTGCCAGTTCGGTTGGGAACTGGTTGGTCTAGTTGGTCTGGAGACTTCTGATAGGACATTTTATTGTCCTTACCCTTCAGCAGCCTGACCCAGGCTTGTTCCTGGGACAGCGTGTTCCAAGAGCCACAAGGAAGAGGGCAGGATGCAAAGCACGAGCACTTTTCAGGCCTTAGCTTGCGCCACCCCTGATAATATTCCCTTGGCCAAAGCGGTAGGGCCATCTTTGCAATAGATCACCGTAATGTTGCCTAATCTGGACCCCAGCCCGGTGGAAGATGCCATGCACTTGTTAAGTTTACAGAGTCACACATATCCCCATCTTATGGAGTGTCATGCAAGACCCAGAGAGGGGAAGGGTGTTGCCCGGGGTCACACAGCAAGCCGGCAACAAGACCAGGCTTCGAAGCCCATCTCCCCAGAGCCAGTCCACTGCCCCACGTCCCTTCCCATGGTTCCCCTGCACCCAACGGCAGTGCTGGGCCAGGGAGAGAGTGAGCTGCCACCCGGGAGCCAAACCCTGGTCACCTGCACAGACATTCGCCCGCAGACACCCCAGACCCTGGTCTGCACCCTTCCCGGGGGGCCCGGGTTGCGGCCCCCCGGCCTCCGCTGCTTCCACCCCGGCCCGGCCCAGAGCTACAGGCTGGTTCTTCCAACCCCAGGTCTTCAGAAAATCTTGGGCAATTTTAAACCTTTCGGACTCGAGCAGATGAGACTATACTAGTGGCAAGGATGAGTCAGCCGTGCTTGGAAGGAACTTCAGTTTGTCCTCGCATCTCCTGTGCGTGTGGTCCCGCCGGCCACCGGGCCAGGTCTACCCTGCCTGGCGCACGAGCCCATCGGCCGTTTCTCCTGCCGCTGCTATTGTGCGGTCTGGAGTTCTGTGCATAAGTGTATCTGCTTTTGAACGTCTCACGTGGATTGTTTCTGTGTCAGTGGCACCTGCCTGAGTGTCAGGGTTTGCAGGAGCAGCAGGGTCTGAGCCAGGAGATCCGGGAGGCCCCGTGTGCCCAGGGGGCCGTGCTCTGCTCCGCCGGCCAGGACACGCGTGAGCCGCGGTAAGTTCCACCCAGGCACCCGGCCGTCCATGCACCCATCCCCCTGCATCCAGACCTCGTCCTTCCTGGGCGTGTGTGACCGTCAGGAGCAGCAAAGAAGGACCCAAGCCTTGGGAGGGACCACCGCACTGCGGTTCCTCCTGCTGACCGTGGCCAGAGGCAGAGTGTCCACCTGACCCAGCTGCGGGAGGGCCGGGAGTGACGGCCGTCGGAAAGTTAAGATCTGAAGAGGAAGGTCAGCACATTTGGGTTTTCCTGTCCCTGCGCCTCCCAGCAGGGCTCGGCACTCCGGACTGTGGCTGAGACCACGTACCTGCACGGTGTGGCCCCACCACTTGTCACTCAGACGCGTGAACACGGCCGTGTGTCCCAGATGCGCAGGTGGAATCCTGGAGGTTCAAGCTGGATCTCTGGTCCAACCCGCTGCTTCCACAGAGGGGAGCTGGGGGCCAGAACTCCGTGGCACAGACAGTTATGGCCGGAGCAAGAGCGGGTCGGACTGGGGGAGACGCCCTGGACAGGGAAGATTAGCGGCTGTTTCACCCGGAGAGAGGAGGAATCGTGGACTCAGGCCCAGCCTTGTCGGGGAAGCTACAGTTCTGTGTCTACTGAGGCTGGAGGGAACCGACCCTCCCAGCTGCGGTGGCCGAGCCCTCTGTTCCGTGTGGTTCTGACACGGGGGGGGGGGCCTCCTGCACCCCTCCTCGCAGGCCCGGGGCTCCAGCCAGCTGGAGGGAGGAGAGAGGCTCCAGGTGGCACAGGTGGGCGGGGCGGGGCCGGACGCTCCGCCCGTCAGCGCTGCGACGCTAAGCTGGTTGGCAGTGAGAGTGGGCAGGTGCTTCCTTACTGGCTCCTCCCATCCCACTGGCCAGCGGGGAAGCCTGGGATTCGGGGTGGGCTCGCTCTGGTTGCACAGGAGTCCTGGCACCAGGTGAAGACCCTGCGTTCTGCTGGGGAGCCAGGTCGGCGGCCCAGGGGAGGCGGGATGCAGGCACAGGTGGTCCAGCCTCAGTGGCAGGTCCGGGTTAGTGATCGAACTGGAAAAGCAGGTACGAGCGACCTAGACAGAGCTAGGGTCTTTGCTGGAGGCCCCCAGCCCACCCACCTCCACCAACCGGTGCCTTGTGAGCTCCCCGCTGCAACCCGAGGGGCGGCCGACCGTGTCGTTGTGGGAAGAGACTCAGGGTGCCCGAGACGGGCAGGCGGGGGTGCTGGGTGCACAGTCCAGACGGGTCGGAGGGGACACAGGAAGGGCAGAACTGTGGGCACTCACAGAGCCTTCCCGGGAGAGGAAGGGGGAGGCTGGTCCCTAAATGCTGAGAACACTTTGCAGCCTCGTGTCGGGGCAGAGGAAGCATCTAGTGCTCGTATTATTAATAAAGTAAGGGAAGGGTTTGGACGTTAGAACTGCAACCTAGCACAGCCCCATTCGGGCCAGGGGCACTTTGTGGTCTGTAAATAAACAGCAGCAACAGAACGTGTCACCGTGAAACCGAAGCAGCCGGCATGGGCCGGCCTGCAGCTGGGGGCTGCGGTCAAGCGGCCCGGGCCTTGGGAAGTCTCACCGTCCCCTGTGCGCGCGTGAGCTGCGAGCTCTCGTAAGTCAGGCGCTAACTTTGCCCGTTTTCTCGTCCCCGGCAGGCACCGGCCGCAGCTACGCGGACCCGCTGCTGTCCCTGCTCCTGTTAGCGCTGCACGAGTCCCTGCGCCTGCTGGTGGGGCACTGACGTGCGTGGGCAAGCGCAGCTCGGGGGCACACGCCCGGCCGGACCCTGGGTGAGGACCGCGTCGCCAGATGGACACGGAGACCGAGGGAAGCATGACGAAGTCCACGTGGAAAATAAATAAATCATATTTTTGGGGAAGTTACACAAACGTAGAAGGCCTAAAATAATGCATCTAGTTTCCAAATAAGACGGAGTTTGGACCACGGGGCGTGCGTGGGATCCGCGACTTCTCTACTTCAACGTAATTTTCTCTTTCACGCTTTTCCTCCGAGTCTTCATTTTGCACGAACTGTTGAGCAGTTATCTTTAGGGTCATATTTAAAAATGTCAGGTCAAAGCCTTTCTGACAAATATTTTTAGCAGATTGTTGTGTTTAGGATTCTTTTTTTAATTTAATTTTTTCTTCGGGGGCTTTTCTTTTTTATTAAATTATTTCTTTTGAGACATTTTGATTAAAAGAAGATACATCTTATCATAATTAAAATTCACTGTCGATAATATTTATTTTTAAATAAAGATTGGAAACAAGGTCAGACACTTGTTTATAAACTGTATTGTATATTGCTGAATAACAGTTGAATAAAAAACAACTTTGCAGTAACTTCTCTACAGCCATGCGTGAATGTCGAGCCGCGGTGTCCAACGCGCCTCCTGTTGTCTGGCACCAGCTGCCCTCTGGGCTGGAGGGCACAGCCCAGGGCGTCTGACAGAGACCACATTGAGTGGACGGGAGCATTGCCCAGTCGCTGAGAGACGGGGGACCTCGCGGAGGCTGGAGCAAGAGGTCCCGGAGGAAAGGAGGTTGCTAGGAAGAGGTGTGGTTTAAACCAAGAGCCACTGTTCCCCCGTGGTGTAAACTAACTGTGCAACCCGTCTGCCACTCGGAGGTTACAGAGCAGGGGCATTCGCTGATGTTGGCGGCACTGCTAGTTTGAAGAGGGAATTTGGAGAGAAGATGGGGCATTCCACATTCCCTTCCCGTGCGGCTTCTAGAGATTGTCTCGAGCCTCAGAAATGCATGGATGTGGGGCGGGTTACACGTATGTTAAGGAAATCGACATGCCCCAGGTCATTCCGTGACAGGCGCCTGTTGAATAGCAGATCCCACGGGTTTATTGAAAATCTAGCCAGACTTTCGTACCTGCAGCGTAAGCAAGTGTGGCTGCATTGGATGGGGTCACCGAATACCTCCATTCTCTGCTGGCCGGGCGCACGGTGGGACTCCGCTTCCCGCCACCCCGTGTCGGGTGGGGCCGCAGTGCGGGCTGCGGAGCTGTCCGTGGAAGAGGTTTGTCTGGTTGCTAGGACAAGGCCCCCCCAAGCTCTCCCTTCCTCCGGTGTGACGACTGGCGACATTCGAAACAGCGAATGCTCTGCCAACCTCGGTCCGAACGGCCGGGACGGACAAAGCCTCCCCGTTAGCCAGCGCCGCACGCGCAGCAACCTTTGCCCTCTGTAGCCACCGAGCCCGGAGCTGCTCGTCCTTGCGGCATCACCCAGCCTACCCTGGCTGGTTCAGCATCTGCCTGACCGACCGTACTTAGTCGTGCGGAAAAGAGAAAATACGCGTTTGGACGATCCCAGGAGTGCAGAGAACACCCGCGGGCCGGTGTGAAGGGAACCTCAGGACCGCCGTGTCCGGTGGATAGGTTACGGTGTTCACATTTCATTTGTATTGATCAGCACTGATTGAGCTGTAGATCTAATCATTTTTGTCTGGTGGATGGTGATTCTGTCCAGAAGCATCATCTCTTTTCATAGCTCACTCGGTCCTGCAGCGGGCTAATGTCACGTTAAATACTGGCCCTTGTGCTTGAAAGGAAAAAGACCCTTCCCAGACGCCGGGTTGAACGAGACAATGCCCGGGAGGCTGACGTGGGGCCGGATCACTCCAGGGGCAGAGAGGCCGGGAGCCGTCCCCCGGTGGACAGGTGGGGACCGTCGGGGCCCCGCCCACGAAGTGCACGGGGGAGGGAAGGCAGGTGTGCTCCGGCCTTGCTCTGCCCAAACCGGCAACCCCGTCTGCCTCCCGGGGGCCGAGCACTCCCAGGAAGGAAGTTGCGGATGAGGCTGGGCAAGTTCCCGGCAGTGGAAGCCTCACTCCCCCCCAGCAGAAGCAAAGGGAACTCAGCCAACGCCCAGGAAGCCAAAGCAAATCCGCCCCCCGCCGACCCTGGCCCCCTGGAGCGGCCGCCAGCAACCCTGCTGCTCCAGGCACAGGACAGGAAGGAAGAAGTCAAGTCCGCACCTGCGAATCCACAGTGCAGACTGATGGGGTCTCAGCCGTGCTTTCTGGGGTCCCTCCGCAGCACGCCAAGAATACGGACAAAGAACAAGGAGCCCGCGGTGAATGTTACTAAACGCGTGCAAACCAGGAGGGACACGCACCCACAAGAAATGGAGAACATGGCATCAGGCTCACCACGCAAACTGCCTTTCCCTTTGGAGTTTGGTTTCAGCCCAGGGCAGATACGGGCTGGGATCAGGGAATGAGAGGATTTATTTCAGTTTTTTAAATTTCAGAATATTACAGGGGTACAAATGTTTAGGTTACACGTATTGCCTTTGCCCTGCCCAGATCGGAGCTCTGGTCCCAGCCTGTGAGGACCACGCCAGCTGCTTGGGGGACTGGGGACCTGTGGGTCCACGTAGCAATTATCACAGAAACGAGGGGAGTGCGAGTTCCACCCCAGCCAGAGGCTGAGCTGACGGCAAAGGGGGGATGGATGGGGGTACAGGACCACAGCTACCTTGTGCAGGAAAGGGCGGCGAGGCTGAGGGGTGGCCAGGCATGGGGGAGCCCCCACACTCCACAGTAGGGATGAGGGTGGCCGCCTGGTTGGCTGACAACATCTTGTGTTTTCACCCCACCTGTGTCCTTCAGGTGGCAGCCGAATTTAGGGGCATAGCCTTGGGTGAGGGACAGGAATTCTGGGAGTTTGGCAGGAGCGGTGTGAGCAGACACGGCGGCGTTCTGAGTTCCAGTTCTACCTCGACCCCCACGTTCCTGGCTACAGCTCTGACGCAGAAAGCAAGAGCTCTGTCTGATCCACGCCTGCGCTCGGTGGAGTACAACAAACCGAGCCATTTGCGAGCTGCTCAGCTGTGACTAAGGGGCTTCCGAAGCTGACAGGCGGGGGACAGTTCTTGCTCCTCCCGACTCTGTTTCTTCCCGTGGGCCCATCCCACTTCAGGAGACATCGGGTGCCATTTTGCCAGGATTTCAGAGAGCCCAACACCTGCCTTTCCCGGACAACAGGTAGCCGGAGGCTTGGAGCAACCGCTGCCCGTGTGCACGCACACGTCTGTGCTTAGCAGCTGCTGCTCTGGAACACTTCTGCTTGCCATGCAGTGCGGGCGCAGCCACAGGAATGACCCAGCACATGGGGAAGCTTCAGCCAAGCTGGACAGCCAGCTTGCACGGTGGTGCCGCCACGCTCAGAGCTCCGAGAAGAACCAGCACAACCTCATCCCAGGGGACCCAGAAATGCTTGGGAAACCCAGGACCTTTCTCAGGGACCCACCCCACTTTGTGGCTGCAGACACAACATGCGGTAAAGTCTAGAAACACCAGCAGAGGTGAACCCTTGTAAATGACAAAGACCTGAGGAGCACCGAAGATATATTTCAACTCACAGAACACATGACTTCACGCCAAGTCTAATCTGCCGCCAACCAGCAAAAACCCAACAAAGATAGGATGTTTTTCTCCTGCACCTGATTTTTTAAAGGAAGAAATGATAAGTAGATTTTTAGTAGAAAATAGATATGATAGCTTTTAGATTTTGAAGTTAGAAAGGATTTCTTAAATGAGATCCAAAAAGTGATGATTACAAAAGAAAATGTGGACAATTTTGACGACATTACAGCTGGGAGCATTTGTTTATCAGAAACCACCATAAAGTCAAAAGAGATTTATAAAACACAGCCAACCAAGGATTAGTATCAAACATGTATAAAGAATCTCGGCCGGGCGCGGTGGCTCACGCCTGTGATCCCAGCACTCTGGGAGGCCGAGGCGGGAGGATC